TAAATTGCATAGTGACAGCTCGAGCGCTATTCATCTAGTCAAGAATACTGCATTCCATGTCAAGACAAAACATATCTGACTTAGGTATCATTTCATCATACCACTTCTGTAAGATGATCTATTATCTTTGGAGAAGATTCACACGACCCAGAATCCTGCAGACATGTTGACATAGATGGTGACAATTGATAAATTGAAGCTATGTGTAACTTAAGCTGATCTTCATGAAGGATGAGAGCAGGGGTGAGCCACGCTATATGTATTATGATTGGTGCTATAGATTGGGATAATGATTGATTGCAATGAGTTTCTAAATGGGATATTGTTAGTTTTATGTGGAATCTGATTGTGTCGATCAGTCGAGTTATATTATTGTCTCGGTCTTTAATTTCATCGATCGAGCTCGCTGGGCGGTTGTTGGGGTCTTCCCCTTGGGTTATGGTGCTTTCCATCTGAAAATATTTTTTTTTCATACAATCGTACAGCGTTGCGGTGTTGTGTACTTGAGTTCTGCAGCATTGTGTACTTGAGCTTTGTGGTGTTATATAGTTTTCTTGAAGACAGACAAAGAGTGGAGCGCTCTAGACCCTGACGCAATGACGCTGTCAGACAGACTGGAGATAGGGAATGTAGGGCCACAGTGTTGGGAGGCGGGCTAAGCAGTTTTCTTTCTCATTTTTCATGAAGGATTGTGTCCCTTGGTGGTTTTTAGCGGGTTTTTCTTCATTTGTTCACATATGAGAATGGTGTAAGAGTGAACAGAGACCCGAAGATAGTGAGAGAGAAAGAGATCTTTACAAAATTTTCCTCATTTTCATAGCGAATTTCTTGGCGTAGTGTGGCTCTATGATTTTTTTCTCAGTTTTGAATTTTTTCCACATTAAATCCTAGCATTCTTTCTTTTCGTTGCATTTTCTCTTTCTTGTTTGTGCTCACTATGTAGTTTACTTCCCCAATAGTAGAGAGAGAGATAGATAGAGAGCAAGCTCTAGAAATTTGCAATACTTGCCTACTCGATTGTGGACCGAGCACTCGAGTAGACCCCAAGTGAGCGTGAGACGACAGGGATGATCGTCGAGAGAACAGGTTGCAAAAGATGAAGGCGTAAAAAACTAACCTAATTTCTTGCCATATTTGAGATTACTTAGGTGGTAAGTAAAATGCTAGTGCGGGCTCGGGCCTCCAGCTTAAATCCACTAATGGGTGCCTATGAAGTGGGAAGATTGAGATTCACAAATAGAACTAGGATTGATTGAACTTTACTCAAATATAAAAAAATCTTCTTGATGGCTCCTTGTTCCTATGTTGTTCTTGGTTTGATATCCTCCTTTGTATGTTCCTTGCTTTATGATCGTTGCTTTAAATTACCTCATTTATTTCTCACTTCTTTGCATTCATCAAATCCTTTACCCCTTCCTAAACAATTTTAAGTGGAGAGATAATAGGAGACAGAAATGATCATCTGGTAATAGAGAGGGGGTTGAGGAGAAGACCTATGTGGCCATTATTTGCAAGGAGGCCTAGGGTTGGTTAGCTAGTGAGAAAGTCAGAGAGTAGGGAGAGACTTATCATGCCTTGAATTTCTTCATTTGATTCATGGATAGAATTGAAAGTAATCAACTTAGGTACACGCCATTGTTTATGGATGTAATTGAAATATGTACAAGCTACTATTTATAGAAATCTAAACCTTAGGATCTCTATTATAATTAAGAAGAGTTATCTTTTTATCATTCATGAAATAAAGCTCTTAAGTTTGGTCTATCCTGTTATCTTGATAAATATTCAAGCACATTTGAATAAATATTTAAAATCTTGATAATTATTGACTAAATTTAAAATAATTAAAAAATAAATAATATATGAGGCACATATATGGACACCAAAACATGTCATGACATGGATATGAGATATGATATTTTTTGAAAATATAAGACATTGACATGGGTTATTTGTCAATATTAATTGTAATGTTAATAATAATAATAATTAATGATAAGAAAAATAGAACTCTCAGGATGCAATAATCTCTAATTTATAAATAGCAATTTCTTTTTTAATGAATATTAAAAAGATTTAACATAAAATAACTTTTGTAAATAAAAAAAATGTTAATGATTAATAGGATAAGTGATGTTATCCTTTTTTTATTTTGAAGAGAAAGAAAATTATTTGAATTTCAAAAACAATTGTGAAACAAAAATGCTAATGCGCTAGACCTTGTCCTACTATCATGTTTAACATGTGTTGGAATTTTTTCTTTATCTTCTGTCGAATCCAAGTATGTTTCAAATGTGTCAATATCATATTACGACAAATATGTTTCAAATGTGTCAATAGCATATTGGGTGTTAGCCTAATATCCTACACTACATAACCTTCAATCTAGAGTGTAATTTTATTTTATTAGCCAATTCTCTCTCCTCTACTTTGTTTGGTTGTCCACGCTAGATTTGGATATATTTGTGGGACTTAAATTCAAGTTCTTGAATTTCTCTTGAATTTGATTTAACATCCATGTAGTCTTGCATGTTTTATGCATCCAATCTAACTCATGAGTTTTATTTGGGTTGAATTTTAATCTAAATATGGCTTAGATGTGACTAACTATGAAATAAAACCAGTGTTGGTGCACTAATTTGCTCTACCAATTTGGCTTGGTTCTTGATTAACCAAGCTTAAATTACATGAAAGAGCCTCCCAATTCATCCATTACGGGAATTATAGCTTGCCTAACTCAAGCCTAAGGTTAATGGCATATATAAAGTATTCTACTTATGTAATTGTTAAATTTTTTTTTAATTTCAATTTTTATAATATAAATTTATGTAATTGTTAACTTGATTCGTGTTGATATTTACTATATTCATCCTTTTGATATCAGACTCTCTTTTAATTTTGAGGGATGGTTTATTTTTAAATAAATATAAATCATTCGTTATCATTAGATTTTTTCCTTTATATTTTTTAATTTTAGATTCTCGCTTTATTGCTGCATGGTCTGTCTACATAAGTATTGTATTTTTATATAAGGAAGTCCAGTCACTTGAGTAAAATTCAGTACTTCTTTTTATAGTACTTCTCTAGTTCCCTCTTAAAGTAAAATTTAAGGGAGGCTGAGGAAGTACAAGATACAATCATTTGGAGTGTTTAGCTTGTGTTTCTTGAAGCAACTCTATAAGTTAAGGGAAAAGGAGTGTAGAGGAGATACTTTCGTTAACATTATTGGAATATCAAATGATAATTAAGTGTGATGGGTTAAATAAACCTTTTTTTTTAATACAATAGAATGAGAATTTAGAATGGGAACCTAAACTCTAGAGTAAAGGATGTGATTAAAAGGAAGACATACGTCTAGAGTATTATGCGATGATAATTTTATGAGGACTTTAAGAAAATTATAAAATTATTTTATAAATTATGAATGTTGACAACAAATAAGTCTTTATTAGTTAAGTGTGGTATAATTGAGAACATAAGATAGAGGTGTAAGAGGAAAAATAAGAGGAAAGATGACTATATTAAAATGATGGTAAGAGTAGCATTCATTAAAAGATAAGATGATGAAAAAATGCACATGAATATTTTAGGCATGAATGATGAGGACATAATATTCATCAATAAAACAACTTCATAGAGCTAATATGCAATGATTAGATATGAAAATGAGTAGATTAAAAATAATATGTACAAAATAGAGTTGAACATCTCATGTGGAGAAGGGGAATACATAAAGCTAATCCCAAAGAGTTTTAAGAAGTATTTTATTTCCCTTTCCTACATTTGAATATCACAAAAAAATTTAATTAACCTCTTAGAATTCAAGAAAAATTAAAGCTTAAGCTTTTCACTCTTCATTAGTTTATGTGGAAGCTTAAGCTTCAAATCAAGAAGCTTATGCTTTATATCACAAATGCGTTGAAATTCACGCTTAATGGCGTTTTGGGACTGTTTCATCTCGAGGTTACTTTTGACCTTTAAAATGCGTTTTTAAAACACCGATTTGCTTGAGAAAAAACGTCTTGTATTCCTCATAATCTTTACTGGCCTTCATAGTATTTCAATCTTCCTTTTGCATGTATCTACCAATTTCCACATCTTTCTTTTCATGTTGATTTTTACTCATTTATAAACCATACTATTACCAGTCTTGAGAATAGACGTATTTCTTATTTCTTTTTGTGTCGAACTCATGTAGCCAATTTTGCAGCATTGTGCATTAGAATTGCCCTGTTTATGCCAGAAATATCATTTTAATTGTCCTCCACCCCCTTTGCATTGCATTGTTTATGTTTGAATTATCAGTAAAACTAGATTTATCATGTCATTGGCAATTACCAGTAAACTTCTGGTTTACTGGGTGTTTTTCTCCCTTGATGCGACCATAAAATAAACCTTTAAGTCTAGTGTTCATTTGGTCACTGCCGCTGCCACTGCCCGCCCAGGAGTGAAACCAGCCTTAATTTTCAAGTTTGGGGGGTGAGGGGGGGTCTTATAAGTAAATTGTTAGTGCTGCCTCGAATTTGGCTCGACCCTTCATTACAAGAAAATGGTCGTTAAAGATATCTTTTAGGTACTTAAAATAACTATGGCCTCTAAATAATAAAGGAACTTGATATTCGAGGGTCCAAGGGGGGCAGTGCCTCGTGGCAGGGTTCGACCTTCCCCCGAAATAAATTTTGGTTGTAAGGATATTTTGGAATTCAAATAAATAAATAAAATGATAAATTCTCTTTACTATTTGTTGTGAGCAATTGACTAAAGACTAATATTTTAAAATTTTTTGGGGGGCTAATTGCCTAAAAATCTTTGTAATAAAGGCTAAAAAATAGATGGAGGGGGATGAATTATCTAAAAAATCATGCATTAAAGAAAATTTTTTACTGTTTAATTTCTTATTGCATATGCGTCCCTTCTTATAGTCTACTGTTCATTTGTTTGTTTGGATTGAACATGAAAGTCACTAACTCCTGCTATTTTTCTTACCTGGGAATTAACAGTATGGGGGCTTTCATACTAAGTTCAGGCACCAAGGGTAATTATTTTATTTTACCTTTCTGTGTTAATTATCATTCTTGAGTTGATTTAATATGATAAATTATTTTTCTTTTGACGAAATTAATTCAGGAAAACGTTTCAGCTTACCAAACTCCAGAATCATGATTCATCAGCCCCTTGGCGGTGCCCAAGGTGGACAAACTGATATAGATATACAGGTGAGCTTCATATCTATGGCTTCTTTACCTTCTGGATTCATTTCTGTCTCCAAAACTCTATTGAAAGGAAGGATATATGGCTATTTTTTTTTCTAATTTTTGAGGGATTTATATGCATATAACATAGTTCTTATATCTTTATATTTACTACATAAAACACCCTAATCTTTTAATTATAACAAAAATATCGCTAACATTAACTTATCTAAACTGTGAAGTGTAATGCATCTTTTTATGCATATGTTTTGATGTGATTTACGTATTAAGGTGTCATGCAAGTAAATATAAAAATTTGTGTCAAATATAAAATTTTGAGAGATTTACATACATACCATTACATTTTAATGTATTTATACATATATAACATCTAAAATTTTTTATTTATTTCTATAACATAATAATAACTAAATCATAGGGGTGTCAATATTGGACACGATCCGAAAACCCGACCCGAACACGACACGGAAATTTCGGGTTCGTGTTGACCCGAACCCAAACCGGGTCGGATTTAGGTTAGATTTTTCTACCCATTTCAAAAATTGGGTTGGGTTCGGTTTGACCCGAAAACCCGAAAATGACCCAGATTGACTCGCTAACCGAGTGGCCCGCGTGACCGTCACAGACCACCGCTGCCCGAGGCCAATCATGTGTCGCCCCCGCTTGCCTGCATTAGGCTGCCCGTCGCGTGATCGTGCCTTCCTTCTCCTGCCTAACTTGCCCGCATCGCCGCGTGTCGCTGCATGCCGCGTCCAGGTCCCAAGGTCCGTGTCCAGGCCTGCGTGCGGGCGTACCGAGCTTGTTGCAGTTGCCCGCATGTCCCGCTTCCAGGTCCAGGCGTCCAGTTTTCCCCAGCTCCCGCGAATGTCAGGCTGTCGGCGTCCTGCCGCCCACGTTCGGCATCCCGCTTTCGGGTTGTGTCGGGTTGACCGAACCCAAAGCCGGTGGGCCTCGGGTCCGGAAAACCGACCCATTTGTAAAAACGGGCATGTGTGGGTTGACCTGAACAGTGCCGGGTCAATTCCTGGTTCGACCTAAACCCAACCCGTGACCCGAAATTGACACCTCTACTAAATCATATCAAAACATATACATGAAAAATCATTTCGTTATGTCACTATTTTTTTTTTCGGTGCAATTTAAAGATTAGAATGTTACGTGAATAAATATGAAATTTTAGATGTTAGTTATGTAAATACATAAGAAATCAATGGTATGTATGTAAATCCATCAAAATATTCATGAAATGCATGTAAATCTCCCTAAATTCTTCACGATCACATTTCCTAAATTCTTCCTATTTTTTTCAGGCAAATGAGATGCTTCATCACAAGGCTAACTTGAATGGGTATCTAGCTTACCATACTGGTCAGAGTCTGGAAAAGATAAACCAGGATACAGATCGAGACTTCTTCATGAGTGCTAAAGAGGCAAAAGAATATGGCTTAATTGATGGAGTAATAATGAATCCACTCAAAGCTTTTCAACCTCTTCCAGCTTGAGATTATGAAGAAGCTGTAGCTATCACTGTTCTGATCAATTCTGCAGCTTTGAGTTGAAGAATCAGTAATTGAGGATTAGAGTACTCTGATCTGCTGGAAAAATGAATTTGTAATGTTGGGTTATCATTCTTATTAGTCTTATTGTAACCAATTAGAGTTAGATTACATAGTTGCTTGAATATTATTGTCAATTAAATGGATGTCAGAAAACTGAAAATCCCATGCACATCAACAGAGCAAGTTAATGTAATTTGAAGGCTAGTTGCATCAAGTGGATTATGATTAGTCAAAATTTTTGTTGTTGATTATTGTAGCTCTCCCTTTCTTTTCCTCCTAGCATAAATAGTGGCCTTTTGTATAGCCTAAAGCCATCCATCTATTCAATCCGTTCGCCATCTTAAACTGAGCTCATTTTGATTTGTTGGTCGGAAGTTTTGATTACCAACTAAGACGATTTGGGTTTGAGTCTTATGTATCTGATGTGTATATGAATTTGTTTTAATTGGCCTAAATGTCCCTAAAAAATAAAGATCAAATATTCAGGTTAGTGCAATCCCTCTTTAAAATAATATTTTTCCTCTCTAAAATGAGTTTTCTCTTTCTTGAGTTTAATTGTAATAATTTAAATATATAATTTTATTACTATATATTATTTAATTTATAGATTTTATTTAATTTGAATTCATTTGATTTGATTTTAATTATTTGATAAAAATTAAGTATTGATAAGAAAAAATTTAAGTATGCATATTTATCTATTTATTTGATGTTTTCATTATACTTGTATTTCTAATAATATAAATATTTTTAAAGTATTTATGATATAGGGAAATTAATATAAGAACATAGAATAGCTCATCAAACAAGCAATCAAATAATCATTAAATAAGCATTTTATCAAATTTTTAGTGAAATATATACTGAACATTAAGTGCACATATTTAAATGAACAAATGAGTAAATGTTTGAGTTTTTTTATTTATATATATGAAGAGCTTTTAAAATTTTATTCTTGCTTGTTAAATCATGCAAATAAAGGAACATAAATGAGCCTTCTAGTTGTTCATTGAGTGCCCTTGTTCTCTTATAACCATAGCTACAACTTTGGTGATTGAAGAAATTCATAGCTTTACTCATGTGATCACATCTACAATGAGAGAGCCACAATCTTAATTTTAGCTATGTTAATAAGACAAAATTCAAAGAAAAGACTTTTATTTCATCATAATTGCTAAATTAATAAAAAAAAAAACTAAGTACAAGTTTTGCATTCTATTTTATATTTTAATTGGAAATCAAGTCATATACATCTTTCTCAATTTATGATATTAGGCAGTCATTGAGGTAGTCATCACTTACTTTAATATGTAATCGTTTCTTAACAATCTTCATTATAGAAAGTATTTTCTCCATTATAATAGTAACAACTGAAAGAGCCAATGTCAAGCTAATAAACATGTAAACTAGGGGATAGAAGGCGTCTTTCTTAACCTTAATGATTTATTTTACGAGATCAACAAGACTTCTTAAAGATAGAAACTCATTGTTTGTATGTATACAATAATGTATATAGATAGCTGATGTTCAAGGGTCATAAGTTCAATTATAGAAAAAATCTCTTGAATATACCTCCACAAGATGAATTAATTTTCTCTTATCGGGAACAGAAAATGAATCACTTGATTTAGGCACGCCACACAAAGAAGAAACTCATTACTGGCTTTAGAGAATTGATTATTCAATTGTTAGAGTTGTAATTAATAATGTGTAAAAAAAATTAACATAATAATGATGTATATTTGTTCTTTTTCATTTCTTTGTACTGATCGTATACGGGGTTTAAATATAGAAATCATATTAGGAATTTTAATTTTAAAAATATTGCAAAATTATGATGTTTCTTTAAATAAAATATCTCATCCATTATCATTCATCATCTGCAATCATTGCTTGAAAACCCTCACTAGTTTCATTGCATTCATAATTTCTTGATATTTTCTTTACATTACTTGTGACAATTCATTTGTAATCCCTAAAATATCAATATTAAAGTACATATCCAAAATAAAGTCAAAACATTCTATAAAATATATCAAAATATCAATTTTAACTGATTGTTGATCATGTATCTCATCTTCCTTAATAATTTCAAGCACTTATAATACTAAAACATACTTTTTAACTAAACTAATTAGAGTATGAAAATATGAACTCCACTGCATGGCACCAACTTGTTGGAAAGTGGTCTCTTAGTTCAATCCTCGCCCATTGTTCAACTCCAGAGTGATAAGATGAAAAATAATTGTATTATGCTAAATGAATTTAAGAATATCACTCTTCTTATATGAAACTCCCACAAAATTCATAATTCTTAAAGTGATATAAAAATATACTTTACCTCCCAATAATTTTTTGTTATAATCACTAAGCATAACTAGAGTTAATGGCCAAAACAGTAAATATTTGGATTATTATTAAGTGTTAGTACCTTCAAATAATGAAACTCTCATTAATATTAGATGCCCCCATCATATCCTTGACGATATATTTTATATATTTCCAATGAATGCTTTGTAAGTATAGATTCAAGAGATGTCTTAAATGTAACTACATTAGTCGAGAAAATATGCTTAATAACTATAAATTTCTCAATAATTTGACCCAATTTATCTATAAATCTCACAACAATAACTAACTATTCCTTCGTGGATACATCATGTGACTTATCAATTAAAATTAAAAGTATGTATCACCAATATCATTCATTATAGAAGATAAAGTCTCAATAGTCGCAACACTACAAAGTTTCAAACCGTTGGTGAAGTTAACATCAAATTTGAGCTTACAATATTTACTATTATAACTTTCTTTATTTCTTCATTGTGATTAGCAAAAAAATAAAGTAGCTCTAAGTAATTATTTTAATTATTTAAATTGTATGACTCATCATGGTCACAAAATGATAAATCTTCACATAGAGAAAATCACACACAATCAACAGCTATAGTTAGGGGTGTCAAAATTTGATCATACCCGACACCCGACTTGGAAAATTTTAGGTTTGAGTCAAACCGTTTGCCATACGGGTTGGGTTCAGGTTTGGTAATCTAACCCGCTTATAAATATGGGTCGGGGCTGGGTTGACCCGAAAACCCGAAAATAACCTGGAATGACACGGTTTACACACATGATAGGTCAACCCACGAACACGCCGTGACTCCGACCCAAATTGTTGAGCTTTCTTCACGTTTGAATATTGTTGTGATTTAGTTTAGATTGTTTTTTACTTTGAAGTATGAGGCAAATTTGTTTAATTTTGAATTGGAGAAAGCTTTTGTCTCGGGAATGAGTGTTGCAAGCAGAAATTTACAGTAAAAAACTGTGTCGGATAGGTGAAGCGAAGGAGAAAATAAGTTATTGGATTATAATCACCTGATATAACTCAAAGCAAACATCCTATGGAGGCATGTAAAGACGAGTAGATTCAGCCCAATGGAATAAAAGTATATAAACGTTCGGGCTACATAAAGTAATATAAGTTGTTTTACAGTAAAAAACTGTTTGCTTCTGCCATAATTTTTTTTTTGTTTTAAAAAAATTGTTTTCCAATGTTTCCTTTAGATAAAAGTTGTTGTAAGTGAACATTTCTTGGGTCCTTTCAAGCCATCGAATGCTGTGCCCTGGAATTTCTTTTCAAGTTGATCGCCCTTGTGGAAGATAATTGATATAGCCACCACATACAAAGATCAACCAAAATCCACTTATCATAAAAAAAGCTCAAGCAGCGCGATTTAGCTCAACTGATCAACTTCCACCATGTTGAAAGTTAGGTGATGATCTTCCTTTGTAAATGGGACAAGATGTTGTAGTTGACTTCTTTGTCTTAAGTAGACTTCTTTTGGGGATCTTTAGGCAAGATTTCGTCATTGATAATGGTTTCTTCTCCCTTATCTTTATTTGATAATCCTTTCTTTGATGGAGGTGGTAATACCTTACCTCCTCTTAATTATACTAGTATTACTTCATTTGGTTCATACTCCTCTCATGAAGCAACTTGTTCAAAATCATCTTTCTCCATCATTTCAAAAAACTGATTAGAAAGCTCAGAATTGCTTTCTAGCTTTATCCACCGCATCTATAATGCCACTATGGCTTCTAACTCACTTCCATTAGTAAAGCACAAATTCTCTGATCTTTCATATATCTATAGCACCAGCAGATAGGATGTAGTTATTATCTTACCATATTCTCTACTTTTTGTTGAGATAGACTTTATGATGCTTCTTTTAGATCTAGTATTTATTTTAGCTATTTTAACTCTACAATAAACTTGATGAAATATTTTATGATGGGCATTCTACAATATTGAGATAAATTGGCACATCTCAATTGGAAGATATTCTCCATTCTCATTCCCTTCTTCTTCTGCTTCAACAATTTGGAGTCTAGCCATGAAATCAGCCAGCTCAACAGGTGATTACCTTACAGACTGATTATAATCACCCATTTTTCTATAACTCATTGGGTTATAATTTTCTTCTACTTAGGTTTTCTCAATATAATTATCCTTTTGAGCGGGCTCAACTTTATTGAGCTAGCCTGGTTAGGTTGTCCACTGACTTGCATTTTAGGTGTAGATGCACTTGGAGCTGGCAACCCCTATAAATAAAGTATTAGTTTAGTTGAAGATTTTCACTTGACATCAGGAACTCCTTCAAGCTGTTTTAATATTTATACTATTTTCTTAGAGATCACAGGCTCCCATTGATCATTCTAACTTGATGTTCCTTTTGCTTCTCCTTTAACGAGGGTATGGAAGCGGATGCAACCACCTGTTAATTCTCTTTTAAGGTGAACTAAAATAGTGCTTGGTTATGTGCACTCTCCTTTCGATACTTTCTTTCTAGTTAATCCTTAAATATACAACAGTTGACAGTCACATTCATCAATATATGCACTTTTTTTTGGACCCACTCTTGATGTATTTTGTTGGAGGCAAATATTTGGGAATACTCACTACATGTCACGCATTTTCCTTTTTCCATAAATCTTTTTTTTTTTTTAAGCCTCGGCCTCCAAATCTATTTTTCTTTCTACTAGGACCTTTCGATAGGGAATTCTTAGATGTGAGGTCTAGGTGTAACGCCCTGATGCTCACCATGTGGAGCTTGTTTTCTTTCTCTATCTACTACCACTACAAAAGGTATCATGTTCTCAGAATGCAAAAAAAAATTAAGGAACTAAATTCATTTATTGTCTTACAAAATCTTTCTTACTAAAATTCTCCTTGTGTGTTCCAATTAGTTTTGTCCATTCAACATTCAAAATAAAATCTTCATACATTTTTAGGAGTAAAAGATTTTCATTTTGAAAATTATATCAAAACTTTTTTCAAGGACTTTTACAATATCAAAATAACATTTCTTTTTAAAATTTCTTACAAGTTTTTATTTTTTAAGCTATAAATATTATAATGCCTTGTTTAATACATATTTGTATGTTTTATATTTTTAATAATAGACATGTCCATGTCATATATTAACCACATCTCCTTGACCTTGCATTCTAGCACTAATTATATCCTTTGATATTATTTGGTGATTTTGCATAAATATTTTTTTTCTTTATTCACTTGAGAAGTTAAATAATTCATTAACATCAAAATTTATCCTTTCTGTCCATTGCCTTGAGATTCATGGTTTATGAGCTAACAATTCTATATGGCCACAATGAAATGATAAAAAATGTAATATAAATAAAAAATGTATCTCACTATTATTAGACTTTATAAACAAAAAAAGCTAAAAAAAAAAAAAGCAAATGTCAAAATCTTTGACATTTTCCGTAGAAACTAAAAATTTCACCAAAATATTTTACGTTTTTAGCTCAAGTGGTGATCTGGGAGATGATTCAAGCTACGGGAGATCACTTAAGTGAATTATATGCCTAAATGACTTATAATTACTTAAGTGAATTGTATTATAATTCATTTAAGTAATTATAATTCACTTAAATAATTATAATTACAATTCATTTTATTTGTACAATTCACTTAAGTAATTATAATTAACTTAAAATTAGCCTATTACTAATTAAGTAACTTAAATTTAATAGAATTCTCTATTTCATAAAATAACAAAAATAATTATTTATTAACAAATAGAGTTATTACTCTATTAAATTATAATTCACTTAAATAATTATAATTACAATTCATTTTATTTGTACAATTCACTTAAGTAATTATAATTAACTTAAAATTAGCCTATTACTAATTAAGTAACTTAAATTTAATAGAATTCTCTATTTCATAAAATAACAAAAATAATTATTTATTAACAAATAGAGTTATTACTATATTACTTAAGTGCAGCGGCGGAGTGAGGGGGGGGCCCACGGGGGCACGTGCCCCCACTC